CTATGTGTGCCACAAGAAAGGTCACAAGTCCTATGAGTGCAAGGTGAGGAATGGGGGAGGAGCAAAGAAGAAAGAGAAAAACAAAAACGAAACAAGCAAGCTCTCCAACACCTACACCAACAAGCTGGACAAGAATGCCTCCACACCTTATCTCTTGAAGAAGAAGAAAAATGACAAGGTGGTGGCCATCAAGGTGAACAAGCAAGCCAATAATGGGATCAAACGCTTTTGGGTGCCAAAGGAAATTATTTCCAACATGAAGAGCATCAAGAAGGCTTGGATCCCTAAAGGGAAGTGAGAAGTCCGATGGACGACGGGGAATTTGGAGACTTGGCAAGGTAAGGGTGCATTTCATAGGGTGCATCGTGATGGACAAAGTCATTGCCAAGTGGGTTAGTGAATACTATAGACTCAAATTCCCTTTTCCATGTTAGGTAACTAGATGTTATTACTTTAAATTGGTATTACTTACAACTTGGTATCTTTTAGCATCTAGTTACCCTTCATGCCTAGGTTTGCATTTACATGCTTATATCTTTTGTCATGCATACACTAGGTATATCTTATGGTAGGCTTGCTCGGTTTTATTCTTAATTCTTGGAGCAAACCTACATGGTTTAAATTTGTTTAGGAGCACAGCACATAGCTTGTCTTTTGATTATTTATCTAATATGTGCCAAAGTCCAAATTATAGATAATTTCTCCCGAATATTATCTTCGAAAATGATTCTCACATTCATGAGATGTCATATTCCAAGTGGTATTCTTGATTCTAAAATCAATGTGCATGATTTCTACAAGTATTCCACACTTGTGTGTGCACAAATTTAGGAGGAGGTTAATCTACAAGTTGGATGTTTTGATACTAATACTCTTTTCAAGCTTATCATGTGTGTAGTAGTCTCATTGCAAGGAAAATGGAGTCTCTGGAGTTAAGCATCACACTTCAAATATTCACCACTCATTGCAAGTGGTAGAAATCAATTTGGTTTCCACATGTGGTATTTCTAAACCGATATCGTCATGTTGATTTCATTTTGATATTTATATGCTTTCTCCATGCATTATATAAATTAAATTCTCTTGAGCAAAAATTTGCCAATTATGCATATGCTTTGTCTTCTACCATATGTATGCATATATTTAGGGGGAGCTTAGTCTATATAATATGAGAGTCAAATTTTGTGATCTATTTCACTCTACCCTCAAAAGATCACAAGGTTTGACCCTCCCTTGTGCTACTAATATCTTCTTTTTGGTGTTTGATTTCAAAGAGGGAGAATTTAGAGGACCAAATGCAAGCATTAATTTGTAGTAATGGTCCGAGAAAGGGAGGATAGTGGATTATGGAATGGGGAGAATTTGTAGAAAGCAAGGCTTAAATCCATAATACCACATGGGGACATTTATAAGGGCAAGATAAGTTTTTATAGTCTTACAAGTGATATTCTTTAGCATCATATAATCTTACCCATTGCATTGTATCCTAGCAAGTAGGTAGTTTTTAAATTTCAAAATTTTATTATTTGTTTGCTTTGGTCATGTTGTCATCAATCACCAAAAATGGGGAGATTGTAAGGAAAATGGACTGTAGGCCCATTTACTTTGGATTTTGGTGCTTGATGACCAACACAACCAAATTAGACTAATGAATTTGCAACTGATTATTTTGTAGTTCAATAGGATGTAAGACATAACTTGGACAAAGGCGACGTGATGATCCGATGATCAACACCTCAAGCAAGACCTTAGGAGCACAAGAGAAGACCCAAGATATCAAGCAAAGTCCAAGCATGAAGATAGGAACCAAGCCGCACGCAAGATCGTGAAGAAATGAGCTCACTGCAGCGACCGGACGCTGGACCAGACGCTGACGAAAAGCGACCGGACGCTCCGATCAGAGGCTCGACAACAGCAGCAGCGACCGGACGTTGGACCGGACGCTGGCGGCAAACCGGCCGGACGCAGGACAACAGCGTCCGATCGAGTACAGAGAGGTTCTAGAGCGACGAAACTGTGACCGGACGCGTTCGGTGGCAGGTGACCGGACGCTGGAAGCGTCAGTTCAGTTGATCGCGGCTCCAACGGTTGGAACGACCGGACGCGTCCGGCCAGGACGATTTCAGCGTCCGGTTAGTAGCAGAAAAGCGGGATTTCGTCCCCAACGGCTACTTTCTCAGTGGGGCTTATAAATACAACCCCAACCGGCCAAATAAGGGGTGTGGAGCTAAGTAAACATATCAAGGGTGTTGATACACTATTTTAATGATCTCCACTTGCATAGTGCTTAGTGTTTCATTAGGTGATTAGCGTAGGTGCTTTGCGAAGTGCTTAGGTTGATTAGACCAGCGCTTATGCGCTTGCTCTAGGTTTAGGCCTAGTGTTTAGTGAGGTTTGCATACCTCTTACCACTCGGTGCTTGCGCGCACCATTGTTGTACATCGGAGGAGCGTGTAGTCTTGTGAGATCACACCAACCGCGTTTGTGGTGTGGCCGCCACCGTGTACCAGAGGGAACAAGGCCCGCGGCGTTTCGGCCGGAAGCTTGATAGTGAAGACGGCGGGGAGCATCCGGGAGAGGCTTGCCAGAAGGCATGTTGGAGACCCACTTGCGCGTGGGGAAGGCCCGAGGCTATCCACGGAGTTACCCGACCGGGAGCTTGGCCCTTACGAGGGATTCCTTGCGAGGGGCTCCAACGAGTACTAGGAGGAAGCTTGCGTGCTTCTCGATACCTCGGTAAAAATACCGGAGTCGTCGACGGGAGTTTGCATATCTCTACCTTACTCTTTATCTTCCACATTTACATTGATTACATTACTCCTTTTCGGTAGAGATAGCAACACACTAGTAAAACCGTAGTTGCACATTTAGATAGTTTATCTTTTGTATAAGTTTTGCTAAGGTTAGAAAAAGAGGCCATAGTTTAGAGTTAGAATTTTAAGTTGCCTAATTCACCCTCCTCTTAGGCGTCACGGTCCCTTCATACATTATAGATTTTATTTTGTAACCTAAAATTATTTCAGTGCAATATATTCACTAGCTATCGTATCTTTTGTACATATAAGCCATATTTACATTTCTTTTGTCCTATTAATTTATTGAAGACGTAAGTATAACTTAAGGCTTTTTTTCTACATATTTGGAAACTTTTAACCAGTCAATACTAAATATTATGAAAGTATTTTTTTTCTACATAATATTATGAAAGTATTTTTTTATTAAATTGTCTTAGAAATATATAATTAACTAACTAAAATACTAAATATTATGTAAGGTTTTGAATGGGTGCAAAAACGCTTCTAATGTTCTCGGCAGTTTATGAGTAATGGAGAATCCTTCCATGTTAAAAAGGAAGAAAAAGAAAAAGAAAAAGAAAAAGAAAAAGAAAGCCATTGTCACGAAAACAAAATAACAAAGTTCAAATTTTATTATATAAGAAAGTTATTGTTGACATATTCAAGTTATTTTCCATTTCAATATTAGAGTAGCAGGTTGTTCTCTAAAATCCTAATCTTTAAGGATCTTGTTGAAATATTTGAAAAATATTTATTTAATTTCACTCGGTATGGAAAAAACCTCTGTTTTAAGAGGAAGGTTGCCTAACGGAGTTAACGCCGTTGCCGGCTTGGGACTCTTTGGAGCAGCGCGCTAGCGACCTAGCGGCCGCCACCCTCGCGATCGCGAGGACGCGACCGCGCCGCATCGCGCGCCACGTGAGCGCGGCCCGCCGACCGTGACACCGGTGGGCGCCGCAAATACGAAAGGCGCAGTCCTTCCTCGGCGTGACCCCACCAGCAAGTGGCCCAACTTGCTCACATGGGCCGCCGGCCGCGACCACGTGTTGCCCGGCCGCGGGCGCTGCCGCGTCAGCGCCTCTGTCGTACGAGGGCGGTGGCCGGTGGGAGCGGACGCATCGCCCGCCCGCAGTGACGTCAGGCGGCTGGTGCACCGGACACGTATCGGGCCCGGGCGCGTGAAGGGTGTTGTTGGCGTGGGGCCCGCTGGGACAGCAGGATCTCCGCACAGGAGATACGCTACGCGACTCACGCGGGCCGTGGGCCCGTGGCTCGCGCTGTCGCTGTTTCGCAAAAGTGTGGGGTGGGGGTGCTCACGCCCCGGCCGCGCGGGCCGCGGCGTGATTGGACGGACGGCCAGGATCGTGCGGGCTCGAAGGAAGGGACGGCCGGAACCGAAAGAGAGCTCAGAGCTAGCTGTCTCCACATCGATGGATGGTGACAGTGGCTAATTAAACCAGGTGGTCTGTGTAAGCTGGCAATGATCGCTTTTCAGGGAAGGCAAGTGGCCTCTCTAATTAATGAGTCCGGGCTTAGTTTAAGTTTTTAATGAGCTGCTTGCTTGTGGATCTACCATGGCCCATGGGCTCATGGGATGGAAGTATATGTGACCTCACTGCTCGTATCGGCACTCCTACGTTTCTGATACATGACGGCAAATAAAAAGCTTGCCTGCTTTTGCTGATCACTCGATACTGATGCTGACAGACTCAAATAACTGAGGCCTTTAGAACGCAGGAATTTTGTAGAAATTTTATAAGAACCAGCTGATTTTCATAGAAAAAAACAGGAAACTAAATAATCCCAGCATTCAAAAAAGGGTCTAAATGATCAGCAACTATAAATACCAATATACACGGACGTGAACAATCAAGTGATCAGCGCGCTTTATATAACCATAAAAAACCGTACGGTTGGTAGCGCTAGTACACCAGACCTCACAGTTCATTACGATCCATTAATAGACTCACAGAATTATAGCACTGTTCAAAGATTCCTTAGCCCTCAAAGCTAGCAGACGAATTTACAATGTCCTAATCCAATTCACACGTCCCAGTAATTAATAGTCAAAAGAATCCCTCCGGATTGTCTGGTAATGTCCCTTTTGAGAAGAAAAATAGTAAATGTCTACTACAGTCTACAGTGTGCTGTACATGAAGCGAAGCAACGCAAACATGAAGTACTAGTTGATAGAAGTCACAAACATTACGTCATCTTAAATTTCAGCCTTTTCCTCTTTACCGGAGGAGCCAAACCAAGGTCTTTACAGAGGTGCTCGTCAGGCTGCAGCGTCTTAGGAACAGCACCAAACGCACAGCGAGTGACTTCCAGACCTGAGAGGGCTTGGTGCAGGTAAACTGACGCGTCCTCTAAGTTCTGTTTCAGTTTACGAGTTCTCAGAAAAGCAGGCAACAAAGCCCTCGAGCTTTGATGGGTCCTGGACTCCGGCACATGAGGATTTATATCAGCAGCCTCAATGAATCTCTCAGTCGCAGCCTCCCATGACAACTCGTACCTCTGCATGTCTGTCAATGGAGCAGGTTGCTCTGATAGAGCATTCAGTGTTAGTTGTACAAACTCGTCTTCATTGTCATAGATACGGCAGTTGGGGAATTGCTTGAAGAACTCATTTGACGGGTGATTGGCACATATAACTATCTTTCCCATTGCCAGGGCTTCAGCGGTGGTCGTACAGACCACATCTGTGGTGCTGGGATTGATGAACACTTTATACCTGTTGGAGAATCAGTGTTTTAAACTTTCAGTCCAGCACAAACAGTTGGTGTATCCTAAGTACATCAGAAATGTTAAATCTTATTACGAAACTACCAGGTCATCTAACATTACCACTCATTCCCTAATCTCGTTTACATAACTTTGTGTAACCTGTGTTTCAGTTCACTAAGATCACACAACTTTACATATTTATCTAATAATGTTGACAAAAAACTGAAGAAGAAATTGCTTTTACTGTCTTGACTCTTGACAATGGCAATACCAACTTAGAACTGAGGGATGTGTTAGGCATGTTACACATGTACAAATGTCTAACAGAATAAGACATAAGAAACTTACTCATGGAACAAGGGATCTGCATGATCACGACCAGGATGAACATTGACAGACAAACTTAAACGTTTGGCAGATTCACAGACCTCGTCAGAATCTTCTCCGCTGCCATATAAATCCACTTCAAGACCAACCAACTTGCTCTGATATTTGGACAGCAGATCAAGAAGCTCCCTGTATCCCTTACTCCATACCATCTTCCCGATGTAGTATGCCCCTTTTGTGAAGGCTTTCTCCCCATTCTGCAGCTGCCTCAACTTTAGCTTGCCTACCTCAAGAAATTTTGGATTAACGCCATGGACATTGCATATAACAGACCTGGGCAGATCTTGGGTGGCACCTGACAATCTGATAATCTGCATTAAGATCAGGATAATTTAGTACACGGCTCAATCAAGATGATAACAACTGGGTGTTCAGTTTTCCAAATTCAACAATTTATATAGGAGAAGGAAAATGAGCAAATGCATTTATATGAGAAAACTACAAGGTACATAAGTGACATATCTCTTGAATCTCACTTTAGCAATACAAGATAACATTGCATGCAAATACTGAACATTGTTATAAGTTCATTAAATAAGCAAGAGGCGACCGTGACTGGGTACCACCATAAAACTCTTCTAGAATGTTTGTTGTACATATAAGTATCTAATTGCACTTCTAAAGTAAGGTTAGCTACTTAACAAGAAAGTATGCCTATTCCTAGCATATCCCATCAAGATTGAAATTTAAAAAAAAAATCATATGTCGAAATCCATACTCTTGCTCGCCCTTTGTATTTAGAACTAAAACAAATCATCCTTAACCAAATCTATACTGATTGCATATGTTCATACAAAGCAAAAGACCAATGCACAATGTTCAAGTTCCAGTGGTAGAGCAGCACACCAGATCTTACAAAATCATTGACAAGTTTCGCAGTGCTGGATTCTCTCGCTACTGCAGAAATTGTCTAATAAACTAGTTAGATGGTTTTACTTGCATTTCTCAATTCAACTCTACATACTTTTTTAAGGATTTTTTTTCTCGAATATGCCATGGATCATTTCATTTAAGGAGAAAAAAAAGACAAACACAAAGGAAACCCACATTTCCAACACAACACTGCATACATCAACAGTTCAACACCCCCAACACCAGTTCGTAAAACAGGAGTGCAAAACGACCAGAAAGGACAGCAACTAGATTAAAACACCTCTAGCCTTCCCTACAACCAAATTCTGAAGCTTTTAGCCCCAGAAGCACACCACAAAGATCCTCCGAAATAGAATGAACCAGCCAAATCAAATCTGGGGAGGCGTCATTAAAAACACAGTCATTTTGGAGCTTCCATAATTACCAATCCATTAAAATAATCACTGTGCTAAGCTCTATCCTAAACTCAGAGTGTTTCATGGGACCCCAACACATGATTTTTCTTTAAGGATTCAAGGAGGAGGCTTCTCCAATCTCCAGTGAGAGTCTGTGGGTTTAGGGTTAGGGATTAGGGGGTTTGGAGGCTAGGGATTTCATAGTAACCCGGCAATAGAAGGAAGGCCAGCACGGTGGTGGAGGCGGTGGATGGGTGGGACAGCAAGCGGCGAGGGCGCCACCAGGGTGGAGGAGGACAGCCGATGGGCAGGGTCGGGGCAGTGGCGTAAAACCAAGGGATGTTAGCATGGTGGCGAGCTGCGGTCACGAATTTGGCAGCAGGAGCTGCTTGTGATGGGAGGAGTATGGGATGGGGGCATCATGAGCTAGATGAGCTTGCTGGTGAGCAGATAGCGAAGGGGTTTAGGTCTGTGCAAGCTGTGAAGCTGGCCAAGGTAGAATAAATACTGAGGAAGTAGAAGATGCAATGATCATTGGATAAATGATCTACGGTAAAAAGTCATGTTTTTTCTCCTAAAAACACTTGAACACTGTGTAGACGGCCCCAAAATTAAGCAGCTTTTCTCATTCACCTGTCTTGCTTATAAGTTATACACAGTACCAACTATTTTTTGAGGGAAAGGCACCTATTATATTCAGAACATAAGACCAGGAGATAGACAGGGTTATAACTAGAAAGAATATTGATACTATATATGAAGAATATACTTTTGGCATGCATGCATGCATAATTATGAATAGCAAGTAAACACATTTATTCACATATTTCTATTTATAATCACAAAACACAAAATTATAGATTGTCAACTTATTTCAAGAAAGAAGTGCCATCTTAGACATAAGGTTTACCAGAGAAAATTTCATTTAAACAAATGATCCAGTGTACATATGCATAGTTGCATACTCATGTGATTACCTTGTGGCAATAGATTCGAGTTACCCAAGTGTTAGCATACTTGAGGAAACAAGCAATAACTTGACCATTCTTTTCTCTCCTTACATATGCTAGATAATTTGTATGAACAACTCCTATAACTCGCCGGAACTTATTTTTCCATCTTCGCCCATGGTGGTACCAATTCAGATGCTCAGGCTCTTCCAACACAGCAATGTCAGCAACTTCATCTGGAATGCATTCTGTAATATCTCCAACAGCGAGAATGCTTCTCATTTCTTTAGAAAACTGCATCATAAAAAAGGAGCCAGGTTATCTTATTATCTTAAGTAGCAAAGCAATAAGTACAAAAATGAGATGCGAGACATGAATATTGTCGGATGGAGCTAACAGCTAACAGAAGCAAGGTCTGCATGCATCAGACACTGAACAAAGTTTCGCTTAAATGCTTAGGTTAGCTACAGGAAAGGAGCAGAACTTGTCAAAGAAATTGAATGAAGTGCTAGATAACCCCATGGCTCACATTGGATAAAACGATCAGTTTGAAACAAACCCCGTTCAGGTCATACTGGAGCGGGGGAAAAATGCAAAGTGGAACAGAAGAGTAGACAAGATAATTCAAGTCACTAATTTGTGTTGATATCCTCTCGGTTTGACATAGAAATTACAAGGTGCAGAACTACTATACCTTCCCTGGGTAGAATTTGATGCTGAAGGATGGCCTGAAGTCAATCCTCTCCTCGATCCAGTGACGAACATAGTTCTCATGCTCCAAAGGCGAGTCAAATACAATATTGTTAGGGTAAACCAACTCTTGGTCCGTTAGACAAAGCCAGGGGATCACTAGCGAGACATCCTTATCACCATTTTTTGCCAGGTAAGCAGCCCGGAACAAAGGGTTGATGGCTGTTCCCGTCATCCATGGGAGGCTTGCGGTGGTGAATATCGCAAAATGCCTCCTCGTCGACATAGCGTATATATCTCAGGGAGGTCAACGGATCACTACTCGCGTGCCACCCAAATTCGTTCTCCTAGCACATTTCCGTCTGTAAATCACAGACCAATGAATCAAGCAAAGCACAGAATGAGTATTACCAGCTGAGCAAATAGATTTCCTTCCTATCGAGCTACAGCCTACAGAAAGGTGCGTAAGCGGATTTGCAGCAGCCAAAGAAATCAGCTGCATAAAAGCGAGCTATGGACGGAGCATTCCGGCCGCGGGCTAATTAGTGACTGACCATGTGCGGGAAATCCCATCCTCCGCCGAGAATTAGGGGAAACACAAGGGGGTTCGAGAGCTTACCAATAAACCCAAATCTACGGTGTAGGAGGAAGCGGGGCGGTAAGAGGCCGGACCAGGGGGAGATCGAGGCCAAGTTCTAGAAGGGTCGCGCCTCGCGCGAGAGGCTTCAGTGGGCTGGCGGCGACGCCGGCAGCTAGAGGAGGGTGGCGGCAACCGGCAAGGGTGAGAGCGGAGAGAGAGGGGAAAGGGGGCAAGCCGCGGGCCGTCTGTGTCGCGGTAGGTTGATCTGGGCCACACCGAAGCGTTTGGACGGATGGGAGTGGGCGGGCTTTGTTTTTGTATAAAGAAAGATGATGGCCAACCGAGCAGGGATGGAATATACCGCCCCGGCGAGCGGCGACCAAACGTGCTCTATCGCTCCAGGTCCAATAGAATCCCAGTGTCGTGGTGTGGTCTATGGACGAGGAGGGTGGAGGGAGAGGGGCCGGTAGTTATAGGGCCTGTTGGGCAGAGCTATTCTGACTCCATGGATGCTGATTCTTCGAGAGGTCTTAGAAAAATGGCTAGCTAGCAGGATACTCCTTCCTCTCAACAAATACCACTTCGTTTACTTCGACCAACCTTCAGACAAGAACTCTAGAGAGCATTCAAATCCCTCTCTTTCTCCCCTTTGATTCCTTGGTGAGATTTTGCTAGAGAGTGAAGGGAAGGATTCTGGTGAGAGAAGTTGTGATTCACCTTGAGCACTTAGATTTCTCTGTCAAGCTGGTGTGGTTCATGTTTGTTACTCTTGGGCTTTGCCCTTAATAACCAGCTAGGCGTCGCCCATGAAGCTCCCGTGCGGTAAGCTTCGGGAGGTTTGTAAGCAAGGTACAAAAATTGAGGCGTCAAAATGTGCTTTGTTAGCAAAAAGTTTTCCAATGTGTAAACTTAACGCACATATGAGGCCAAAAACCTCTGTGCTCTTTGCACCAGCTTAGAATACATAATGGAGCTGCCCTTATCACCAACAGCGATGATAAGAAAACTTTCTTTTTAGCACAAGAACCAATGGCTTCATCACCAACAATGAAGTACAAATAGGCAAACTCCAGCAGACAAATGACTAAATGATCATACTATCAGCAAACTGTATGAGATAGATGCTTTCGTACAGGAAGTATTCAAGGCAGGTATATTTGCCGAGGACTAAACACAGATCATACTGTCACCAAACTGTATGGATGCTTTCGTATAGGAAAGTATTCAATGCAGGTATATTTGCCAAGTACTCCTACCTGGTATCCTATCATAACAATTGTGCTACAAATGAAAGTAGTAATATAGTAATTAAGAATTGCATAGTGATAATTAGGTCCCCCTCCGTGACTTCTAATATCTAAAACATGAGATTCTGTAGCTCCTAGTTCAGGATGACATTAATCCATATGCTTCTTTCCATGTATTAGCCAATACAAAAACGTTCAAGCAAGGCTGTTGCAAAGGAGAGAATGCATTAAAGGTGAACTTCCTTGTCAGGTTTATGAATAGCTTTACTTTTGAGTTGAATTGCTCTCTTGCACTCCCTGCATCTGCAACAACTTCTGCTGCTCCTCATCGTTCTCTTCCTTAGGCTCAACCTTGGGTGCCTTCGGTTTAGTGGTGGATTGCTGGTAGAGCACACCACCTGACATGCATATCAGGAGCCCAATGGTACCCACAAAAGAGGCATGCTTGTCCCAGATAAGCAAATTAATCACAACAGTCAGGAGCTTGTTCACTATGCCAAGCACTGTGAACCCAGTAGCAGAGATAGCCCGTCTGCAGGAGAATCCAAAGAAGGATATTGACAGTCCAAACAGGCATGAGAGAGCAACAGGGAGGACCACATCAAATGAAAGCCAGTTTGACACTTTGGAGCTGTCGACCTTCATCTGATCAAATTCTCCCATTATAAGGAGCTCAAGGGGGAACAGCATCAAAGCCTCAAGGTTGTTGTATAGCACAAGGCCCCATGTGTTCAGCCCAATGGTCATTACGACGTGCTTGATGTACACGAAATCAATGGACATGCTTGCTAGGTAGGCCACTGCCCAGGTGTAAGCAGTCACAGTGAATTGGTTGTCTGTGAAAACATAGATCACACTTCCACCAAGTATTGTGGAAAGTGAAAGCCATGTCTTGAGTGATGGCCATGGCTGATGAAGATATAGCGTCTCTCCGATCGCGACAAATATGGGCACAGCAGAGCGGAACACAATGAAAGTATCCACATTGGCATGAAGCAGGAGCTCACTATTTGTGAAGATGGAGATATAGAACATCACAGCAGCAGGTAAGAACTTCCACATTGTCCTCAAATTAAGGCCGTCGTGCTCAATGAGCTTGAACTGTCCACATAGGAGAACTCCAGCAACACTAGTGAAGTACTGCAGAGCTGTCAGGGCTCCAGGATATGGAAATTTCATGATTGCCCATTTGTTGATGATGGAGAGCAGCGACGCTGATAAACAATACCCAGCAGCCACACCATAGACTGAGGCTTGCTGCATAAGAGTGTTCAATGTGTTACTCCAGGCTCCAGTTCTCTGGGTAGTACCTGAACCCTCAGGTGAAGAAGTATCTTCTTTTGAGGGGTCTGAGAGATTAGACATCTGCAACATGCAAACTACAATTACTAAAGCTTCAAAAAGATTCATGAATAGCTACTATAGCATATGGAACAAACTATGGCGCGCATGCATGTTCAAGGAAAACACACTAAAATCAATGCAGCAGAGAGTCAAGATTTTAAGGATAGGTTTCCATGTACTAGAATGTAAAGAAAGTATGTGACCATCCTAGAAGAATTTGATGAAGGGTAAAAGGATAAGAGGGTACAAATCTGTTTCTGTGTTCACTGTATCATCAGTTCATATCATAATACCATATTACATGATACAATAAAATGAATTATTGACCATTACAAATACAGATCCCAGTTCATAATCTGAGCTAGTGCAGCGTATTGTCTTGTAGATATTTTATATCCTTCTTAACGCAATCATGAGTAGTTCTCCTGTGCATTCGAGAAAAAAAAAACTCCTAGTACTCTAGTTATGAGACACTGAATTCTTCAACTGCATTTGATTTAAAATGCTAGACAACAGACATTGTTCATCACATTGCTTGCTTATGTAGGAGTTTTAACTCCTAATAAACAAGGCTGCAACCAAGGTAAAGGGAACAGGTAGGTCAACAGCATTTGAAAACCACAAATACACATGAAGATAGTACTATGCATGCCATATTGCTAGTGAACTCTCTCACATATTCTATTCCATTACAGTATGTAACTGTACCATAACATAGAGCAAACAAATTGGCACGAGGGGGGGAGGGTGGGTCAGAAATTGCTGTCCTCTAAATAGGATCGCCCACCTTTCACCCATGAAATTTCAATTGTTTGCCAACCCAGATAATTCTTTAACCAACCTTGTCATTCATATAATGCCAAGGGTAACACATATTTTGACGTCTGATGATACCAACTGGAACTTAAAACCTCTATCTATGTAAATCTGACAACATACTAATGCAGTAATGGACTATCCAGAAGAATGCCCAAAAACTATGCACAATACAAAATATACAGAGCCTTGACATTTTGTAACTCCACCAAATTTGGCCCAGCCCCCAGATCAACATCTTCCAATCAAATTTCACACAGTAATATTTGAGATTATCAGCACTCCTCACAAATATATTCATGCCTGCCAGAATTAGTTGTACTACTCATTAATTTGTGCTATAAAGAGTTCATCACCATCACATATTAAAGATCAAAGCATATTTTCATGCACTCCTAGTTGGGATTGGTATGAACTTCTAAGAATGCACTTCCAACACATATATGCCAAATAAGAAATCAACTCTAAGTATTAAGAAGCTTATAGCTGTAGGCGGTAGGTGCTCATTTACTGAATAAAAGAAACAGCGTTTATCAAATGGTGCTAACAAATAATCCAATATTGAGTAACTTTACAACTCTGAGAAATTTAATAGAAAGAAATTAAATCTCTGCTTCATGTGTTAAGCCATCCTGTTTATCTTCTGTAGCAAGCATATACCCAATCCAAATTTTCTGATACAAAACCAGCAAGCATGGTAAAGGATCAAGATGGTCAAACAAAGACAAAACAAGATAAAACAAACAGCAAAAGACAGACAACAGGTACTTAAAATAAATCGCATGACAAAATCAAAGGCACAAGATGAGGCAGCAGGACTTCATCAAAGAATCAGAAGAAGATCAAACTATGCCACCTATAAAGAACTAAAGTATCCATGCAAAGATCAACAAATACCTTGTAACGTCCAATCCGGGAATTTGCCATGCCTTAAAACCAAAATTGAACACCAAATGATCTAGGTATGAAGCATGTATCTTTTTAAGGCAGCTGAGGATGCCCGAGGTGGCAAGAGAAAGAGGGAAGACCGGTATGCAACAGCCACCGAGCAGCTAGCCCTATCAACTAGTCTCGTGGGGAATATAATGCGTTAGTCCATGACAGCCAGGGAAGGGAAGTCAAACAAGCTTGGGGCACGTCACAAGCATGTTAGGTTGCTAGGATGACAGGATATGGTAGAAATATCAACGGGACCTATTCTACCACCTAAGCACTTGTCCAAGTCAAGGAGGACGAGGTCACAATAATGGGGTGTGCTAGTTTCTGATAAGAAAACAAGTACAGCATACCTCAGGAACCTTTCCTCTCAACTATGCAAATTGGACAGATCCCTCTCAACTACCACAACGTGACAGCTCCAGCACCTCAAGACGAATGAACAAGTCACTGTAAGCTCACGAAGTGCTCCCTGAACTCGGTGCTAGGGCCTCGCGAGCCGGCGCAACCAACCAATCAGGCACATGAAGTGTTCCCGAATCTGTTTTTTTTTTAAAAAAAAACAAAGAAAAACAATGGAATTAGTTAGCCACCTCGCCGAACCATGCGTCGTATGCTAGCGCAAGAAGTCACTGCACGAACTGAACGCCGCCATGACAGAAGAAAATAAAACGTCAATTGTTAGGTGAGGGCATCCCGTCAGGACCAATGACAGCCACTTCGCATAGTAGCAGTTTCGTGCGCAGCCTGAACATGGCAGGACATTATTGATTAGCACCACATCTACCCACGGAGGCGTCGCCGAGAAACCTCCCAAGTGGTGTCCATCAAAGCGCCACTGGCGTCGCCTCAAGTTAGGGTTCTTCTGGTACCTGCACTGAAGCAGAAACGGGTCGAAAACCCTAGAGAAAGCAGATGATAGAAACTCTCTCACCTTTCAGACGCTTCCTCCAGCCCCGGTGAATTCGGTGGTGTGGGGGACAGCAAAGGATGGGGACGGCGTTTTATCGCGGGGTTTCCGCCTTGGCCGGAATTGTTTTCTGCGCGGTGGTCGTCGGAGGTGGGAAGCCGGACCTGGACGCTTGCGATTGCGAGTCAACCCGCGGACGCGGACGGGGTTAACTGGGCGCGCGCGCGAAGGGGGAATCTAAGCAGTGGGGGCGTGCGATTTGGGGACTGCCGAATTGGGATTTCAGAGAATGGAAGGCAAACGAGGAGGCCACGGCAGATTTTTTGCAGGCGGGGACGATGGTGAATTTACAAATGCGACTTGCTGCTTCTGACCCGCGAGCCGCGCGGAGGAGATCTCGAGGCGCCTTCCGCCTCGGTGGGTTCGCCCGCCTTGCGGGTCGCGGTGGCGGTCGCGCGTGGACCTTCCGACTTGTCCGGTTCTCCCAGCCACTGCCTGCGTGCGAGCTCGGCTGGGCTGCGTGAGAGGGGGTACCAACGGCCAGATGGGGATCTGATCTGACAAGCGGACAAGGACGGGAACGGGGTGCCGCGCCGCGATATCCGTCGTCCCCGGCGAGGCGGCGACACTGCTACGTGAGAGCCGCAAGCAGGCCTGAGAGGGAAGGGAGAGGACAGACGGGGTCGATGGGTCGGCCTTCGACTCCTGCAGTGCAGGTGGAGATTGGATTGGGTCACGAGGGCCCGTTTGTTTGCCTGAATTGAAGCCAGGAACAGGTCCACCGGTTACAACTTTTTTTTAGTGGAAGATAGGGATTTCTATATCTATATGTATCTATATCTTCTATCTATATCTATATACCTAATAATAATCTATATATACCTATACCTAATAATAATAATAATAATAATAATAATAATCCATACATAATACTAAAGAGCCAAAATTTCTGTCATCAATTTTTTTTTCGTCTAGCCCTGTCCACCCGTATTTGTTTCTACGTCGGTCCGTGGAGATTAGGAAGGATTAGGAGCGAAGAAGAAAATAGAAAGAAATACATGGTTCTAGATGTAAAGATATCATAGAGAAAGAAAAGGTGGGAATGCCTTAATAGTTTTTGAAATAGATTGGGATTCGTGATGCAAAATATCCAAATTCGAGCGGGCTTCTTTTTTTGACTTGGGCCGAATCCTTGCAGTTAGGCTGGTTTTGTTGTGGGTTGAACTATACTAAAGACGTAAAATTTCTGCCATCAAATTTTTTATCCGTTTCTACATCGGTTCATCAGTTGCAAACGGAGATTAGGAGGGATTAGGAGTGGGAAAGAGAATAGAAAGAAATGCAGGGTTTCAGATGTAAAGATATCAGAGAGAAAGAAAGGTAGGAGGGTCTTAATAGTTTTTGAAATAGATCGAGGTTTCTAATGCAAAATGTCCAAATCCGTGTGGGCTTCTTTTTTCGACTTGGTGAAGGGTCGAGATGGCGGACTAGAGGGGGGGTGAATAGTCTTTTCTAAAATTAATCGCGTCGGCTAACCGATATAAATGCGGAATTAAAACAATCGATCTAGCCAAGACTACACCCCTCTATATATGCTCACTAGCACCTTGCAAAGATACTAATTATGCAACTAAGGTGTCGGGCTAGCTAGAGCTCTCCTAAACAATTCTAGGAGCAAGGTCACACAAACCTATGCCACTAGTACTTTAAGCAACAAGGGAGCTCCTACACATGCTAGTAAGCAAAAGCACAAAGCCAACTAAGCTCACTAGCAAAGCTCAATAACAAGGCAATCAATGCCTAATTAGAGAGCGCAAATACTTAGCTACACAAACTAAGCAATGTGACTAACAAGGTTACTAAAACCAAATTAGCCACGCAAGGGAGCTACTTCTATACTACACAAGCAAGAAGGTAATTAGCAAGCTACACAAGCTATCTAATTACAAGAGCAACTACACAAGCTTAATATGTATAAAAGTAATTGCAAGCTTGTGTAATGGGGATGCAAACCAACGGGAAGAACAAGGTTGACACGATGATTTTTCTCCCGAGGTTCACGTGTTTGCCAACACGCTAGTCCCCGTTGTGTCGACCGCTCACTTGGTGGTTCGGCGGCTAATTAGCATCACCCGCTAAGCCCGCACGTCGGGCGCCGCAAGAACCTACCCCTTGAGTGAGGGTAGCTCAATGACACGCTTTACTAGAGTTGCTCTTCGCGGCTCCCGTGGGGCGAGCACAATGCCCCTCACAAGCACTTCGACGGAGACCACCACCAAGCCGTCTAGGAGGTGGCAACCTCCAAGAGTAACAAGCACCACCGGCTCGCAACTTGATCACCTAGTGCCACTCGATGCAACCTCACGATACAATCGCACTAGAATCGCTCACTCACACAATCGGATGATCGCTATCAAGTATGTGTGTGATGAAGGGCTCCCAAGCACTCACAAGCATGGACACTAAGTCCCTTGAGGTGCTCAGCACCAGCCATGGCCGAGGGCCACTTCTATTTATAGCCCCAAGGGCTAAACTAGCCGTTACCCCTTCACTGGGCAACGGTCGGGCCGACCGGACGCTCCGGTCGTGTTGACCGGACGCTGGACCTCAGCGTCCGGTCGCCCGCAGACGACCACATGTCCTGGTTCCAACGGTCACTTGACTTGACCAGACGCAGCAGCTTTCAACTGACCGGACGCTGAACCCCCAGCGTCCGGTCGTTTCCAGTAAGGTACCGACCTCGACCGGACGTGTCCGGTCACACTTGATCGGACGCAGCCAGCGTCCGGTCACACTCTAGCTTCTGCGATATCGTACGTCAGCCTGATCGGACGCAGCCTGCCAGCGTCCGGTGCATTCAGATCCAGCGTCCGGTCAATTGATCGACGCCAGCATCTTCGCGACTAACTCATTTTCACTTCTAACTTCATCACCCTTGCTCCAATGTGCTAACCACAAGAACTTGCATCCGGCGCAATAGAAAATAGGCATTCTATTTTCCCGAAAGCGTCGAATCCCACCCCAAACCCATCTCACCCCTGCAAACACCACCTCCTTTGTAAATGTGCCAACACCACCAAGTGTACACCACCATGTGTATGTGTGTTAGCATTTTCACAATAATTTCCCAAAGGATGTTAGCCACTCAACTTGCCACGCCACTCGATCCTAGCGACAATGCAAAGTTAGATCACTCGAGTGGCACTAGATGACCGATATACAAACAAGTTTGCCCCTCTTGATAGTACGACCATCTATCCTAAACCCGGTCATAAACTTCTCTACACACCTATGACCGGTGAAATGAAATGCCCTAGGTTATACCTTTACCTTGCGCATTCCATTCCATCTCCTTCAATGTCGATGCAACACATGCACCAACACGATCAACAATGATATGATCCACTTCATATCATCACGTGATCATATTGGTTCATCGATCTTGACTTAACTTGCCCTTCACCGTTGCCATCGTCCATCGGCGTCAAGTCTTGCTCAAGCTTCACCGCCACGTGGTCCATCACTCCAAAGCCTTCGACTTGCCCTTCACGCTTGCAACCGGTCCATCAAGCCAAGTCTTGTCTTGATCTTCTCCACCTTGATCACATGACTCAATATCATGTCTCATGTGCAATAAGCTCCTTCATCATCACATGTGTGAGCTTTGCAACATCTCCAAGCCATTTTCACCTCCATGGCATATGTTGCTCATACACATGTACCTGTGGACTAATCACATGTGTATCTCACATAAACACAATTAGTCCACCTAGGTTGTCACTCAATTACCAAAACCAACAAGGACCTTTCACTTGGGCCTAATCTTTACAAATAGGCCGGCTTCGTTGTGGGCTGGACCAAGCCCATCCAAGCATTTTTTCTTTTCTTTCATTTTTCTCTTTTTCTATAAAAAAGATAGATCTTGCCAAATTCACCAAAAATCATAGAAAAAATAGAAAAATTCCAAACCAATTTTGTTAGCTTCATAAAAATACAATCTATCCATAGATGTTATGAATCTTGTTAGATTGTGCTTTGTCTATAGGTGTATTAAATCATCTTTGCATATATTGCATGCATA